GTTTACTACTTGGAAGTGCTGAAAAGGCTGCGTGAAAAATTAGACAACCTGAACCTTTCACCAACAATTCATGGCTCTTGTATCACGATAATGCACCAGTTCACACGGCACTGTCTGTGAGGGAGTTTTTAGCCAGTAAGCAAATAACTGTATTGGAACACCCTCCCTACTCACCTGATCTGGCCCCTAATGACTTCTTTCTTTAACCAAAGATAAAGGAAATATGGAAAGGAAGACATTTTGATGACATTTTCAGGACATCAAGGGTAATACAACGACAGCTCTGATGGCCATTCCAGAAAAAGTTCCAAAATTGCTTAGAAGGGTGGACTCAGCGCTGGCGTTGGCGCGTAGCTTCCCAAGGGGAGTACTTTGAAGGTGACCATAGTGATATTCAGCAATGAGGTACGTAGCACTTTTTCTAGGATGAATTCGCAAACTTAATTGTCCAACCTCGTATAACAGCAAATATAAACTTCAATTAAATATTATGCAAACTGAAAAAGTTTGAGAGCAAAAAAGGTCACTCCGTTGTAAACCACAGTGACTGCTTAGGAAAAACTCACCAAAGACAAGACAGTTTTAAAACTGTGAAATTTGGCGAGAACAAAAACATAAAACACTGAGGGGCAATTAAAATCTAGAAGGTGCTTCACTCAGACTTTTTTGAAATTCTCTTAGTTCTCACTCCACTTGAAAGAAACAAATGAAAAATCATAAAACTATGGTTTCGGTTTAAGCTAGAACAGCAATTTGCAAGTCAAAGAAAAGTCCTTAGCCCTGCATCCAGAAAATGGTGAAGGAATACACATATGTGTGCTTATAAAACAGAATATTTACTAGGTATCATTTGTAAGCTTTTCCAATTTATTTGACCTTTCCCATTACTGGATCCCAGTCACATTGACTGAGAGACGCAGAAGACATTTCTAAATTTAAACATATCCTGAAGTACTTCAAGATACATAATACAGACTAATCAGGCTCCAATGCCTGTTTTATACCATCAAAATTATTATCCATGCTTTCTTCGTTCTTTAATCTGTGAAAATGTCCTTCCTTCTAACCTTCACTTCATACAGTCCTGGATTGACACCAATCCAGTGCCCACAGGAACCTCCAGAGAGCAGAGAGCAGAATGGCTTCCAACCCATAATGTCAGCAGCATAAAGACAGCCCATGCCCATCCCGTTCACCTACAATGGTGCCTGGTGCAAGGCACGTACATAGTAAATTCTGTGTATGCCCAAACATAAGCAAGGGATTTTCAAAAAACAAAAAAGAAGAAAGAAAAAAATTGGAATTTTCTTATATTAGAGACCTTATTAAGAAGTAGTCTTTGGGCCGGCCGAGTGGCGCGATGGTTAA